TAGTGCAGCCCCGCCGGCCAGCCCTGCTGTCTCCCCACCTGCCCTCGCTGCCCCGCTGGCCATCCCACTGCTCCTTGAACTTGCAAAGCACATTTCTGCCCCAGGCTCTTCTCGCCTCCTGCTCCTTCTGCCTAAAATGTGCCTGCTCTGACCCTCTGCTGACCCTTCTAAGGAAGGGTCCTGGACGTCTACTAAGCACACCTAGTGTGAGTGCTCCTGTCCTTGTCTGGCTTTTTTGCCCCTCACAGGCCATTTATCCGTTTTCAATTGGATTGTGCGTCCACCAGCAGGACGATATGCCACTGCGCAGGCACATTGCGTGTCTGCACCTTGACGCCTGCTTGGCACACAGCGGGTCGTCAGTGAGTGAAGGGCCAGTTGACTGAAGCCAGTGTTCTTTGATTACTTTTGACTCAGTGATTACATGGGTTTCATTGGTCGCCTGCATCTACAGCCCACTGGAAATGTCTTCTGCCCACCTTGCAGGGAAAGCTTTTCCTTTCAGGTTTATCCCACTCGCTGTGTTGTTTACCAGGACTCTGTGATGGCTGAATTTATGGGGCAGCTTGGCTCTGCCACAGTGCCCAGCCATTTGGTCAGACACTGATTCAGAGAGTGAAGTATTCTAAAAATGTGGTTACGATTTAAATCAGTAGACTCTGAGTGAAGCAGATTGCCCTCTGTAGTGTGGTGGGCCTTGTCCAATCAGTGGAAGGCTTTATGAGGAAAAAGGCTGAGGCTCCCTGAGGAAGAGGGAATTCTACCTCCAGATGGTTTTCATTGCAACATTAATTCTTCCCTGGTTCCTGGGCTGTGGATCTGCCTTACAGATTTTGGACTCACGAAGACTTAACAATCACTTGAGCCAATTCCTTAAACTCTCTCTCTCTCTCTCTCTCTCTCTCTCTCTCTCTCTCTCTATATATATATATATATATACATGCACACATACACACACATATATATGCATCTATCTATATCATCTATCTATCTCTTCAATCTCACCTCNACACATACACACACATATATATATATGCATCTATCTATATCATCTATCTATCTCTTCAATCTCACCTCTCTTCTCTCTGAGCAGCACTGCCTAATACAGATTCCTTTGAATGGCAGACACTTTGGTCACTTTCTCTCCCACAGCATTTTACTTTGTTTATAGGAACTTTATTCTTATACATATTTAATTTGTTTTGTAGGCAGGTTTATCAGTTTTATTTTGAAAGTTCCTGGCCTTGGTATCATTCTGAGAAAGGACTTATCTACCCCAAGAGGACGCATTTCCCTTAACGCCCTCGGTCAGGTGTCTGGCGTGCGTCACCATGGCCCAGACTCTGCTTTGTCCTGACAGCGAGGGCAGGGGTCCCGACTCTCCTCTGAGGTCCCGTCCCAGCCCTTGTCTCCCAGAGTGAACTCAGCACACCGCAGGCTGCCCGGGGTCAGTCAGGAGTGGGAATCGGAGCCTTGGCCAGAGACCGCAGCCTGATTTCTGCCCAGGTCCTGGAAGCCTCACTGCACAAGCTGGGGGCCAGGACAGGCTCAGATCCCCCCAAACAGCAAGACAGAGGGGTCAGGTGGGCCCCAGGCTGGTGCTGGCTAGTGAATTCCATGCTGCAGACCAGGCTTGTCAAGCCTTGATTTAGGTGTGTGTGTGTGTGTCCTGTTTATTACAACCACTGGAAACAGATGTTTCTGCCCTGAGATGGTGGCATCCCCGCGGGGAGGCCGCAGTGACTCGGGGGAGCTGCAGAGGGTACAGGGAAACTGCCCTGGCCCTCAAGTCTCAGGGCTGGGTTAAGGCCTGTGGCCATGGTGCAGGGGGTGTCACACAGCTTTGTGAAGGGAAATGGGCTCCGGGGGCCCACTGAGACCTTCACATGCCTCCGGGGGACCGGTTCCCGTAGAGGGGCAGAGACCAGGACGTGTTTACTGGAGATGAAAAGGGGAAGTCGAACTGAAGGCAGCCCCTAGCTCTCTGAAACCACCTGACAGCTCCAAGGTGCTGGCAGGGCCGGTGCCCCAGGCAGGGTCCTGGCCAGGGTTGGTGGCCCTTCGGCACCTGAAAGTTTGCAGGTCAGGCGTGCGTGGATGATCATGTGCTTCATACTGGGTGTTTTTATAAATGTGTTTCCCGGACAGAATGAAGCTCTAGACCCCTGGGCCCAGCCAGGCGCCCACAGGCTCAGGGGAACCATGGGCCAGGGGCTTTGGTGCCCGGCCTTCCTCCTGGCCTCCTAGCAGCCTGTGGATGGGGTTTTCCTGTGCAAATCCAAGGGCAGAGGGAAAAGTCAGTACCTGCTCCCTTGGGAACAACCAGGTGGCAGCTGTGATCCCACGGGGGTCTCTTTAGGGTGGGGTGGGGCTGGAGGACGTGGCTCAGGGCAGAAGGCCCAGCATTGCTGCCTTTGAGGCTCTGAGACCTCTCAGCCCCCAGCCAGACGCCCCTCCACCCTCTCCTCAGTCATTCATTTGTTCACTCCTCCCTTCAGTGGCTGTGGGTGCTGGGTGTGCACTGTCCTCACAGATTTAGGGTGGAGATGGAGGCAGGCCCGACCTTGGGGACACACAGGTCATGAAGCACTGGGATGGAGAGGAGCGGGCGCGGGGGCCTTGAGGAGGTGGTGTTCACAGGTCTGGCTGCCAGCGGGTTGGGCTGGATGCGCCTTGACCTAGCCCTGGCGTGATGGGAGCCCACTGGTGGCTGCCAGGACAGTTCAGGTTTCAATAGACCACACTGGCCGTGGGGAGAGAGGGGGCAACCTGGAGGCAGGTGAAGCTGCCTGGAGCTCCAGGCTGGAGGTGACGGGCCTGGACGGAGCCGCGGGTGGTGGTGCAGGAGGTCAGCCTGGCACAGAGGTGGGCTGAGGGCTGTAGGTCCACTTGGAGGGTGAGCAGAGTGGGTGAGGGGAACTTCAGAGGGAAGTTGCGTTGCTACGACAGAGGGTGCACCTGTAGCGGTTGAGGTGGACAGGCAGGGATGCGGACTTTTGCAAGGCTGGGCCTGAGCCAAAGGCACCCTGACCTCACGCTCTCATGCGTGTTTGCTGAGGGCTTTCCACCTGCTGGCTGGGTCCTACCTGTCGGGGCCACGAGGGAGCAAGGGAGAGCTCTGTGCTCTCAGCGGCAAATTTCTAGGTGCAGACCGAGAATAATCGACAGGTCTACTAAGCGAGCCGCAGAATGTGCTGGAAGGGTGGGGAGGAAGCTCGGCGGGGAGGGGCTGGGGCCTGGGGTTTCCATTAGGGGCGTTGGGACTTCGCGCGGACATGAAGGTGAGAGGAGGGAGCCTCGGAGTCTGGGACAGCCTGCCGAGGGGACAGAGGTGAGGGCCGAGGGGCGGAAGCCAGAGCAGGTGGGGCCCACCCGAGGACCCCATTCTTATTTCTGGTAAAACGTGAGGGCCTTTCGGGCTGTGGGAATCTGAGGTCTCATCTAAGATCTTGAA